CAGGAGCTGGAGGATTTTTCTGAGGAACAGAGCTCAGTTTAACTGTTCAGAACAAACAAGAGACTCATGAACAACCATCACAAAACACACAAACAGTTGTAGATCATCCAGGTGACACACACAGTATGAAGAACCAAGGGTTCACAAACTTTTGAAGGGGGTTATTTTTATAATTTCAGCTATTGTTTTGTCTTGTGGACTATATGTAAACATCTTTTATGTAAAATATCTTACTCAGGACAGTACTAAATAAAAAATAACATGCATTTTGTATGATCTCTTTTATTTTGTTAAAATTATTCACATTTTCACAGATTCTGCAAGGGGTTCCCAAACTTTCGCATGTCACTGTAAAAGAAGTCTAATTTGTGCTTTTCTTTTGTATAGGCGCTGTTTTATCTTCACATGAAGAAGTCACACTAACATGTTGGATTTGCCTATTTAGACGACGGCTTTATGTCAAACTCATAGTTGTTCACATTTAACAAATCAAAGCTTTTATAAAGTTTTACAGCTGTCGTAAACTGCTGAAACCACTCTGACAGTGGAAGCAATGCTTGAAATACTATTTGATTAGATCCAGAGCGTGGATTAATTACTACACAAGCTTATGTTTAAAGGCTTACCGTCAGCACAGAGTTACTGAAAGATCTTTTTAATATATTTTTTTCTAGACTACATGTAAATAAATACTGAAAAAGGAAACTTTATACTTTTGCTTCTGAGAAAAACATGCAGTAATGTGTCAGTGTCTCAAATAAGATATGTTGAGGTGCTCCACATGCATTTTACAGCTTTATACTCGTACTGTATGACAAGTTGGCTCAGAAATTTCAGGAGAAACATCTGAGACAAAGTTGATACTTCAATGCAAGATAATTGAGATCTTCCGAGCTACAAAAGAGCAATGAAATCTCCCTCAGGATGCTGTGTAACTTCCTTCTGTTGATGAGTTTCAAGCCATGCGACTGAAGGAGAGCTGTCACACACACACGGCCGTCTCAAACAGATCAGATTTAAGTGAGTGTTTCAATTCAAACCAAATGTCGGCTCCGTCTCTCTTCCTGTTTGCCAAACCTCACAGGACTCTGACATGAGCAAAACGGAGAGAAGCCTGTAGAAGGTTTGTTTTCGTATTCAAGACCCGTAATGTTTTCAAAAACCATCTGTGATTCTCATTCAACCCTTTCCTAGCCCAAAACTGTAATTTCATTCCCACATGCCTCCTTCATCACGTTTTTTTCCAGACGAAAAACAAAAAGAAGAAAAAACCAGCAGCAGAAAGTGTGTCAGTGGATTGACCAGTCATGGTTTCGCTAAAAAAGTTGCATAACCTAAAAGGAGCCAGTGAAGCTTTTGGTTAAGCCAGCTATCTGTCATCATGACAAAACACAGCCGTCTTCTCCTACATGAAACTGGCCTGCAACCACCGAAAACCTCATTACATACAGTCTAAATGTCTTATTCTACTGAACGTTCAGCACTTTATGAAGCAACTTACCAGCTAATAGCTCCTCGGGTGTCTTTTTACCCTTTGGTTTTTGTTTTTCAACCATCTCTTCTGCTCCAGGCTCATCCATCTGAGTGTCTTCTGAAAATCCATCCTGTAGATCTTCTCTTTTTGAATTAATCTCACTGTTTTGGATGCTCCTTGTTCTCTGGTTGGGCTTGGCAGCATTAACCAACTCGTTATTGATAACCAATGTCAAAATCCAGCATAGGGCAAATAAAGTTGCACACAGAGGAACCCTCGGTGCCTGCATGGTCCTCTGCAATCTTCTACACCGAATTCTACTACAGTTTAGAGATGGTGTCTTTTCCAGAGGTAAGTGTGCGGCAAGCTGGTCAGCTGGGACTCGTCAGATTGTCTATTAAAACTAGTTCATCCAAATGTTTGGAGATTGCTGGAGATGGAGTCAGTGGAAGTCAGATGTAATGGGGCTTGTGGCTGTTTTGCTCTCTTCTAGTGGAATGGAATTCCACTGACATCCCCCTCTGAGTGAGTGCGGAGGAGGACAAAACCCACAGAAAAAAAGAGGAGGAGACTGAGAGAGAGAGAGAGAGAGTCGTAAGTACACTTTCAACCATTCCAAAGATTTTCTGCTCACCAAGGCTGCATTTATTTGATCCAAATTACACTAAAAACAGTAATATGGTGAAATATTATTACAATTTAAAATAGATGTTTTCTATTGTAATATAGGCTATTTTATTCAAAGCTGAATTTTCAGCATCATTACTCCAGTCTTCAGTGTCACATGATCTTCAGAAATCATTCTAATATGCTGATTTGCTGCTCAAGAAACATCTCTGATTATTATCACAATGTTGAAAACAGTTGTGCTGCTTCATATTTTTGTGGAAAAAGTGATACATTTTATTTTTCAGAATACTTTGATGAATAAAAAGTTCAAAAGAACAGCGTTTATTTGAAATAGGATCTTTTGTAACAATATGTATGTCTTTACTATCACCTTTAAACAATTTAATGCTTCCTTGCTGAAAAGAAATACTAATTTATGTTTAATATTATTATATATATATATTTAATACTAATTTGTATATAATAAATTGTATATATATTTGTTTGTTTGTTCGCCACATTTTTATTTTATTAATTTTTTTCCATTACAATAATTAGATGTTTAGGATAATGTGTTTGCTAAAACTTAATAATTCTTAAAATTGGCATATATATATATAGACCTAACTGGAAAACTGACCCTGTCAGTGTGTTCTCCCCTATTAGAAAGCCATCAAAAGAAGTTCATATTTAAATAAAGTACACCTGGTTTTATTCAGATTTATTCAAGACTTTTTTAATGCTTTTATTATAAGCTTTTTTTTCATTGAGCAAATGAGACGACACTGGTGGACTAAAGCCACTGAGTCAAATAACGCCAAATTTTTCTTTGAAGAGAGTATTGTTTGCAGAAATAGCACAGATCTGGCCTGGTTTTACAAAAACACACTCTATCAGTTGTTCTTTCTTCATATTTTTTTGTCTTAAAGGGGTCATATGATGCGATTTCAATTTTCCTTTCTCTTTGGAGTGTTACAAGCTCTTGGTGCAGAGGTTGTCAAGCATGTTTGCCTTGAGCTAATTTTTTTTTTTTTATTGACACCAACACATTCATGACTACATTCCTGCTTAGACTGGCATGAAGCAAACTGATTCAGAATGTGGAAAATAAAAGAATCGTCTATACGGTTCTCTCAAAACCATGAAAAAGCAACTATTTATTGATGTGCCAGCGGACATCTGATGTTAATCGAATCCATGTGCAGAATTACAGACAGATGTGTTCCTGTTTGACTCATTTGGAGTAATCTCAAACGTTTGCTCATGTTCATCATCTTCTTCCATCATGAGCCAGGAGACTGTAGCCGTGAGTCACTTCTGCGCTTATCATTTGATTTCCTGTCTGTCACATCTTTCTGCCCTCCATATGAAAATCAGTCTGCTTTTAATTCACTCGTTTGTGAGTTAGGCCTACGTTCTTTTCTACGTTCTAAGTAGAAAGATTGATATTGTATTTTCAACTAAAAATGTACTCTTGTATTCTTTGTTTTATTTACAACTACTAAAAATCAATGTTTAGAGTGTAAATATCAGCATCGACAGGGATGCACGTGGGCAGGTGCGCATGCGCGACTAAAATAAAACATGCGCGGCGGGAAAATAAGTTCAGATCACCATTTGCGTACCGACATGCTTAACAGCTGTTAATACATAGTCACCGTTTTAGATTAACTAACTGTATAAGATTTCCATTCAAACTAAAAGCATAAATTTAGGCTACGCGCTGCCGGTTTCAAAACTGCTCGGCAACCGGCCAGAAAAAAAGCTTGCTGATTTTAGGTTTGAAAATGATGAAAATTAATATAAAAATTAATAAAGTAAAAAATAAACAAAATAAAATGCAAATATTAGTGTTGTATTTTTTGTGTACTGTAAAAAAAAATTTACATTTAAAATATAATAGTATTATCACATTTTTACTTTTATTACTTTTTTTAAAGATTTATTTTTGCTGTTATTTGACTTTATTATTATCCACCTTTTTCTGCAACGCAGAAGTAAGCCTATGGGCGAGACTTCCGGTTCATTAGCCGCTATAGGGAAATAATGAGAAGAATATCAACGTGCAGTAAACGGTAAAACTGTTTGCACTACAAACCAGTGTGCTCATAAGATAATACATTAAAATGATATAGTAACACACCAATTTTCAATATCAAGCAGCAAAACAAGCTGTTTTGTACAGATAAAAATAGCTGGACACGGATGGAAGCTAGACCCATAGAATTTACAAATGGCTGCGCCTGCTCTTATGGGAAGAGAAAGCTGGATAGGACAGAGTAAAAGTGACAGGAAGTGAAGTAGGAGAGAGAGAAGGGGGCGGGATCGGGAAAGGTCCTCATGCTGGGATTCGAACTCGGGACACCTGTAGCATAACGTCACGCACTGCCCACAAGGCTACCAGCGCAGACACTTTTTTAATTTTTATTATTACTTTTATTAATTATTTTATTTCTTATAGTTACAATATATAATGGGTCACACTATGTGCATTGTGAGCGCCAAACCAAATCTTAAGGTGCTCTCATGAGAACATATACATTTATGTTTCCAAAATGGAAAAAAATAAGATAATAGCAGTCAAAAATTTAAAAATATAAACTTTATTGTGCCTCTTACATTTAAAATGTGGTATAAAATACAAATGTTAAAGACATTATAAATATTATGACCAAAAAAAAACATGACATTATTATAAAAAAGTTAAATATTACATTAAATATATTGCTAGTGTTCATTCATCCCTTAAAATAAACTTTCTTCAATGGAAATTCTTCAAGAACGTCAAATCAAGAACTTTCAAGGGTTCTAATTTACAGATTTAAAAAGTTCTTGATTCTTCAGATCAGTCTATTGGTCTCATCCCAAAAGAAGTAGACAATAAAATGTTCAAAACGGTTCATCATGCTGTCAAAGATCAGAACATCATGAGGGTGTGGTGATGGTAAGGTGTGTTCAGGTACAGTGTTTGTGGTGTGTAATAATGCACAGGATTTGCGTGATGTCCAGGCAGCGCATAAATAAATGAGTTTTGCGTGAACGCTGGATTTGCGCAATGGTTCTGCTCCTCTCCTCCATGACCGTCTTGTTCCTTCTTCCATTTGGTGCGTCGGTTCTGAAACCAGATCTTGACCTGTGTTTCGGAGAGACGGAGGGCCGTGGCGATGCAGTGGCGCTCAAACACCGACAGATAGTGGCTGTTCTGGAAGCTTCGCTCCAGGATGCGCAGCTGATCCAGTGTGAACGCGGTGCGGATGCGCTTCGATTTCCCCTTCGCACCAGAAACACTGGGGATGTTTGAATCTGCTGGGTTTTCAGATGCAGTCGTCTTGGCTTTATTTGCACGTGTACAAACTGAAATGTAAGAAGAAATTGTCATATTATTATAA